TTCATTAATTATTATACATTATAATATTTTATTATTGTTAATTATTGACACTCGCATGATAATATCTCAATTTAGGATACTATATAAGTGGCATTCACTTTACGAAGGAACAAATGTGAACGACGATCCATTAGCTGGGAAGCCTCATCTGACGCACCCCGACATTATCAAAACACTGTCTTAAAACTTATATTCCAGTTTGTATTATCCTGTATAGTAGTGGAAAAGCCATATGGGTGAGATAAAATAACAAAGTATAGGTATAGCAAGTATGTACTAAAAATATTCTTCATGTCATTAATTTTCGTTTTTATTTTGTTTATTTCAGCTAATAATCAAAATCGTAATTATTATTAGTTTCTCATTTAAAATTACTTTTCTATTTCTATTAATATACACACATATATATCTATATATATTCATAAATATATGCGCTGATTGCCGCGGATATTTATTTATACATAAACGCACGTGCGTATCTTTGTATATAAACTAACAAATGCAAAAATGAATTTTAATTTTCTAAATATGATCATTATTAAAAAATATTATTTGTCAATTAAATAGTGTACCCTCTCCGGATAAAAACAAATTATATTATTAATGTTAATTAAACAAATTTATCTTTAATAAACGATGATGAGAATTTTAAATGTTGACTGCCAAGCAAGATATCTATAAAAATGTTATTTTAAAGTCTTAATTTTCTTTGTCAAGATAGATGGAAACAGATCTAAACAAAATGGTTCTTGACTTTTTTGATTTTCAGTATCTTATAAATCATAAGCGATGAGGCATAGAACTATTTTTCATAATTACATAAGTAAACAATTTATGAAAATACACTCTTTTAAAATGAATCAATGGATTCAACTGAATTAACCAATGGACATACCCGCATGCGCGCAGATATTTCGTTCACTGATTCACCAGAGAAATTGTCATTCACTGGATGGAATAAGTGAAATTCCACTGATTCATTTTAAGAGAGCATATATAAAATCAAATTTCGAAATTGCATGTATGACATTATAAACATGTTTCTTACTTCTTTCGGTTAAGTTTAATACGTCGATGAATTGTGTCGGGAAAGAAGACATTAATTCATATTTTTAACTTCTCCCTATGAAAATTAATATTATCAAAAATTCGGAAGTCAAAGTTAATAGAACGAAAAAATTGTGGACCGCAAGCAGTATCAAAATGATCCGATTGATCAGGAAAAAGAATTCCTTGATTAGGAAAAAGAATTCAAAACGATTAACAATTTTAGTTCTCCATGAGAGGAGGAATTCAATATTGAAAATATTCAGAATTACTAAAAACAATTTTAATTTTATTATTTCAACACTGATAAAAAAGTCAACTTAATTCAAAAGAAAAAAAATTAGAAAAACGGTTCACCCTAAAGGCTATCCGTGCAACTTCCCGCTAATTCATTCCTGGGCGCTTAAAATTGTCCTTATGACATTTTTGAGATTTTTGAGCTCAAAATATAATTTATGTGATATTTTAAGCTCGCTGAGTTCAAAGAAATAATATTTCTATGCATTTGAACTCTCCCAGCTCAAAAGTCTGATAGAAGTTTCATAGAACACTATTTTTGGAATTTTCAAACCGCAATAACTTTTGAATGGATCAACCAATTTTCACGCGGTTGACGCCATTCGACGCCGTTTTATCATCCTCATAAGTTACTTTCAGGTTTTAATTGATCGAACCGAAAATGTTGGAGTAATCCCGAAAAAACACTTTTTTCAGTTTTCTTTCGTTCACGATATCTCTGGAACGAATCAACCGATTTTGACCAGCTTGGTAGCAATCGACGTGGTTTTTAGATGTTAAGAGCTGATTAGTTTTTGGAATCGATCGGTAGAGCTGTTTGAAAGTTATTCCAAAAAATGTCGGAGTTATGTTGAAAAAATCGTTATTTCCAAATATTTCGTCGAGGATATCTCTCGAACTAATCAACCGATTTCCACGTTTTTAGCGGCGATCGACGCGGTTTTTTGAGCTCTGAAATTATTCTATATCATCAAAAACGATTCGAGAAGAAATGACGAAGTTATGTGAAAAAAACACTTTTTCCGGTTTTCTTTCGTTCACGCTATCTCTCGAACGAATCAACCGATTTTGACCAGATTAGCGCCGATCGGCGTGGTTTTTCAAGCTTAAAGGCGGATTAGTTTTTTGAAGTTGATTATCGACCCGTATAAAAGATATTCCATTTTCAAAATTTCTCAAAACCTATCGGTCCGAATCGGTTCAAATTCTCAGGAAATCTAAGTTTGGCGAAGCCCTTTCGAATGCCACCAACCGCGATGAAATCGGTTCAACCGTTCAAAAGTTATAAGCGATTCACATACTTACACACACACATACACACATACACACACACACACACACACATACATACAGACATAGTGACAATCTCGCGGGGATAGTCAGGAAGCTTCCTGTGACCTTCAAACGTCGAGATCTGATGAAAACTCGATTTTTGCAAAACGGGGTGAAAACAATAATTAACTTCCCGATTTTTGATAATCTTCGATTTTCATAGCGGGAAGTTAAAAATAGAAAGTTATTTTGACGCAGTCTAATGTATATATTTGTAAATCCAAATATTTTTAAATTATTACACTCAATTAAAACATTGATAATAGTTATTTATTTTTACCTGGCTTCGTTAAATGATTTTTAATTAATTTTATCATAAAATTTTATAACTATAGTTTTTTTTTTTAACACATCCAGAAAATACAAACAAAAAAAAAATTAATCTACTTACACGGTACTTAAACTCACAATTTATTAGAGTTGATCATACGAATGACATTTTTTTCCAACACTCGACTTTCTTTTTTACCATCATATAGACGAGAAGATCATTTTACTTAAGCAAATGAATTCATGCTGGACCTAATAATTATCTACGATCCTTAAAAAAATTATTTTTTTTATCTACAATTAACAGAAAATTTCTTTATTTCCTCAATAACCACTAGTTAGCAAACTGACATCTATCTGTTGACGCAATCTGCTGTTAGTTAATCTGATGAGCAGATTGATGGCAGACTGACTGCAAAAGTTGAACGCAACATTTGCGCTTCATTTGCTTGCAAACTGCATTCAGATTAAAACAGAAACTATAGAATTTTCTATTAAATCAAGAAAAAATAGCTAAGTTAAGCTAATCCAGAATGCCAAACACTGATGGCTATTTGGATCCAGATTGACAACAGATTCTGGCTTCCTAACTTTTGCAGTCAGCTTGTCACCAATCTGCGCCTCATACTGACATCAAACTGCGTTAACAGATTGACGTAAATCTAACAGCAATTTATGAAAAGTCTGGATTTATAGTCAACTTGACTTCCAATTGACGGCAGTCATTCGATATCAAATTTTGTACTGAACTTTGATTATTGGAGAAGATTTTAACTTGCACGTAAGTCCTGACATCAAGGTGCACAGCAACTTACTGCCAACATATCTGAAACTCTTGTTTTTTATAACTATTTATGTTATGTAACATAAATAGTTGGCTTCAGGTCCCGGTAGATTTTCTGAGAACGGTAATTAATGAAGAAGTTATCGTCAGCACCAGGAGACGGCTACCCGAAAGGCACTGTACTTTTTTTTGATAAAAAGAAATTCAGTTGTCAGAAGCAAAAAAAAAAAGGAATTTGATAGGTATCATTCGGGAGTAAAGGAAATTCTTTCGAAAAGCCATATTGTTAGTAAACGAAAAAACCATCGATATTATTAATTTATATTTACATCTTACTCCATCAAGGATGTGGAGGGTAGTTAATAGCCTTGTTTATTAATAAAACAATTTGGAATCATGAGTTTAAAACATTTTTGATACTACTTTGTCTACGCAGTAACAAAATAACCCACAATAAAAGATATTTCATCAATATTTTAAATTGTCAGAAACATTTTGTCTATTCCATACATAGCTTTAAAAGATAATCAAGAAAATTGTTAAGTGATAATAAAATTTGTAATCACAAGTTTAGGCAATGATTTATAATTATTATATTCAAGCAATAACTATTTTACCAGCCAGTAAAAAGCAAAAGTCCGTCAATATTTTTAATTGTTACTAAAATTTTTGCCTATATTATTAGATATTAAAAGACATTGATAGATTTCGTAATTAACAGAAAAGTTATTCAGTCAACAGTTTTAATTATTTTCAATATTACTGTGTCTAGGCAGTAATAATGTCACTTGAAAATGAAACAAATATTCATCAATATTTTTAATACATTAAAATTATTCACTATTACATGTTAATATTAATTATAAATGATAATAATGTGTCTTGAAACTTGAAAAAAAATTTTATAATCAAAAAATCAATTCCATCAATCAATTATTTTTTTACTGTGCTCAGACTATAACAACACCATTCATCAGAAAAAGAAAATCATCAATGTTTTTCATTATTTCTCGATCTTTACTATAGTAATAATTATAATTATGAAAAATAAAAAAATAATGAAAAGCCTCAAAAATCAAAAAGTAAAATATTTAATCAAGAATTTTATTAAACAAATTTTTTTCTTACTGCTCTCAGATCGTAATTATATTAATCACCAGTGGAAAAAATTCCATTGATATTTCTAATTGTCTTTCACTAATTTATGTTTTTTATATTAAATATTAGTCTAGTTAAAAATCTATAAACTTTAAAAAAAAAAAAAAACATCACAAACAATAACAATCGTAATCATTTTCAATCTCTAAATGTTTGAATCCGAATTTTTTGGGGCTCTATTGTAACACATAAATCCCATTCGACAGTTTCTATGTGGATATATATTTCTCTAAACTCTCCTCGCGCCCTCTTTCTCGTCTTTTGTTTGTCTTGTCGCCACCTGAGAAACTCACTTTAGCCTTGTCTTGAAGAATCGGAACATTGTAGTTCAGAGATACTTATTCTGCCTTTGTCATTTTTGTTCAAAGATTTTTTTATTTTTTAATTAACTATGACAATTTCAACTAAGAAATTTGCGGCTGGTACGAAGTACGATACGTACGCTGAATTTCATAAGTCTTTTAAATATCACGAATACAGTAATGGTTTCGAGTATAATAGAAACACTTCAACTCGTTTGTCATCATGCAAAGTTTCGAACATCAACCCTAATTTGAAATATTATTATGCCCGTTTCTGCTGTAGAATGGGACCAAAAACGTGGAAAACCCGAGCTAATGATCTATTGTAAGTCAAAAATATAATTTTGTGTAATTTTTAAAAACATTTTTTAAGGTAAAACTTTATTAATAAAGATAAACACCTGTATTCATAACCGTATTTATGAAGTTCGATCGTTTTGAATTTAGTCAATATGAATGCTCAGTTATAATTGTAATCTGATTCATTAACTTTTATTATGTATATTTATTTGATATTCCTTGTTTTTGGGTGACAGAAAAAATCCATCTTTGTGTCCGGCTATGTTTACCCTCAAATGTAGAGCTAAAAGCTATCTTTGTTTGTCTGACGTAAATCTTCATCATAATCATCGTTCAGAATATGTAAGTTATCATTGGCCTATTTCAAATTGCCTGTTAAAGTTGTTAAATTTTTATTTATTCTTGCTTTCCCGAGAAAAAATGTTTCTATATAATCATATATAATTGTATATGATCATATATGATTATATATGGAATCACATATATAATTATATAGAATTATATATAATCATATATAATTATATAGAATTATATATAATCATATATAATTATATAGAATTATATATAATCATATATAATTATATAGAATTATATATAATCATATATAATTATATAGAATTATATATAATCATATATAATTATATAGAATTATATATAATCATATATAATTATATAGAATTATATATAATCATATATAATTATATAGAATTATATATAATCATATATAATTATATAGAATTATATATAATCATATATAATTATATAGAATTATATATAATCATATATAATTATATAGAATTATATATAATCATATATAATTATATAGAATTATATATAATCATATATAATTATATAGAATTATATATAATCATATATAATTATATAGAATTATATATAATCATATATAATTATATAGAATTATATATAATCATATATAATTATATAGAATTATATATAATCATATATAATTATATAGAATTATATATAATCATATATAATTATATAGAATTATATATAATCATATATAATTATATAGAATTATATATAATCATATATAATTATATAGAATTATATATAATCATATATAATTATATAGAATTATATATAATCATATATAATTATATAGAATTATATATAATCATATATAATTATATAGAATTATATATAATCATATATAATTATATAGAATTATATATAATCATATATAATTATATAGAATTATATATAATCATATATAATTATATAGAATTATATATAATCATATATAATTATATAGAATTATATATAATCATATATAATTATATAGAATTATATATAATCATATATAATTATATAGAATTATATATAATCATATATAATTATATAGAATTATATATAATCATATATAATTATATAGAATTATATATAATCATATATAATTATATAGAATTATATATAATCATATATAATTATATAGAATTATATATAATCATATATAATTATATAGAATTATATATAATCATATATAATTATATAGAATTATATATAATCATATATAATTATATAGAATTATATATAATCATATATAATTATATAGAATTATATATAATCATATATAATTATATACGGGTTCCTAGGACCTAAGTGATGATGAAGACCAAAATACTGCTAACAAAGGTCATAATAATGATGATAATGATGTCAGTACTGATAATGAAGACGAGAAAAAATATGATATTCGAAATAAAAATATCAATGATAGTGAAAGTATTACAAAACGAAATATGCAGAAAAAAAAAAAAAACTGGTCTAGCACAGATGCGTAAGCGAACTGATGAGTCAAAGAAGCTCCAGCAATCTGAGGAAGTAAAGAAATCAAAACGAACTGTGGTACCAAAAAAGCATGAAATAAAATCAACCATTAAAAAAGTTGAGCAGAACGCACTAACTTCAAGAACAACAAGAAATAAAAAAGCTGATTGGTCATGTCCAAGTTGTAAGGAACATCACAATTAAAATATGAAGATATGAAGAGATGTTTTATTTGTTAACGTTTTGTAGACGAGATTTGTATTTTTATTATCGATATTCTTTTTGATGATTACTTATCTAATTCAAAATAAAAGATTATTATAATAAGTAATAAAAAATGTTAAATGCAAGTCAATATTATTCAATTACTGAATAAATTAAATTAATATTCTTGTAACTTGATAATTAAACTTAATATTAGCATCCTTTTATATTTGAAAAAGAGGTTATAAAAATAAAAAAAAATTAATTGCAAAATAATTATTTTTAATTGTTATTTACTTAAGATGATACCAATGAGGAAATATTTATTGTTGTTTATTCATCGTTATTTTTCATTTTTTTTTTTGCTATCAGGTTGGAAAAATGATCTAGGATACTAATGTAATTTGTTTATAAAACTTAGAAAAATTATACTATGAAATGTTTCATTATTTATTTTTTTTACTATGAAAAAAATCTAGCATCAAGAGTTAGCTTTAATTTTGATATTACTGTGGCCAGGCAATAACCTAATCATCGAGGAATAAGAGAAATTCCATCAATATTTTTAATTGTCACTAAAATTGTAGTTTATATTAATCAGAGAAGATAGTTTTGTTAATTAATAGAACAATTCTAAATTATGATTTTCTATTATTTTTTTCCGTTACATTGTCGAGGGAGTAACCAGATCACTGAGAAGTAAAGAAACGATCTATCGATATTTAATCTTTATTAATAATTTAGTTGATGAATAGCTCTAAAAAGTAATTAATAAACTCGTAATTTAAGAAAATAATTCTACAATCAAGAGTTTGATTACTGTCTGTACGCAGTAACTATTTCACTAGACAGTATGACTTTCGTTCACAATATCAAAAAAGGATTTATTCATAGCCTGGTTAATTAGTGAAAAAAAAAAAATAATAGAACCAAGAGTTAAATTCATTTTTGATTGAATAAACATATTATTTAACCGCTGGATCTATAAAATTATTTTATTTTCCCTTCACTGCGACCAGACAGTACACGGAGAGAATTTAATCATGAATACAACTATCCAAATATTGTAAAAACAGCTACTTAGTATGAATGATTGCAAAAACTATCCAAATTGTTAACTGAACCATCCAGATAGTTACATTTACCATCTGGATAATAATTATTACCATCTGGCTGGTAACTTAAAGATGGTAAACTTAATCATAATCATAATATATGTTAACCACTAAAATCATGTTGATTGTAAATTCTACAATCATGATGTTAATTATTACCATCGCAGCTAGTAATATGATTAGTCAATACGTGACTACTGTATATTATATATATTTATAATATATATAAATATATAAAATATATGAAAAATTGATGTGGGTACTCAAATGACAGGTCTCGATGAGCGTAATGTCTGGGTGAATTCATATCTTTAAAAATGTCAATAGTTTACTAGATACAAGGTCATTTCTTAATTATTGATATTTTTAAAGATGTAAGCTCATCCTGATATCACACTCATCAAGAGCTTTCATCTGAGTACCCACATGCATTTTTGATATATTTTCGACATATCATATATATAATATATATAAATATATGAAAAATTGATGTGGGTACTCAAATGAAAGGTCTCGATGAGTGTAATGTCGGAGTGAGCTTATATCTTTAAAAATCTCAATAGTTGACAAGATAAAAGGTCATTTCTTAATTATATGTTTAGAAATGGAGCATTTTCGAATGCAGCCTAAATACTCATCATGATAAAATGACTATCGATGAGAATGATATGAAACCTTGAAAAGGCGGAAATTCGGTTACATGTCGATTCAACCCCTGAAAATTCGTTCCCGGAAATTTGAACCTGGTCATTTGAACCTCTAAAATTGAACCGCTGGTCATTTCAACCCCCGGTTATTTGACCCTCTGGAATTGATCCTTTGGTTATTTCAACCCGGTCACTTCACCCTCCAAAATTGACCCGTCGGTCATTTTAACCCCCGGTCTTTTGACCCCTGGAAATTCATTATTAAAAAATAGGAAATATATTCATATCAGTGGGGGGCTTCGCCCCTCCAACCCCCACCAGGGCTACGCCCCTGGACCCAACTATTTTAACAATATTTGTGTGTATTTTTACTCAGAAATATTGAAACACAAACGCCCGTAATCGTGCTGCGCACTTTTAACAAGATTTGTGTATCTTTTTACTCAGAAATATTGAAACACAAACGCCCGTAACCTTGTTGTGCACTTTTGACAAGATTAACTAATTACAATACTTAACTAATTACAATACTTTATTGGCGTGAGTGAGCTTCGAATATGAATGAAGAAAAGACAAAATGGAAAAATAGGAAAAGAAAAACTATGGGGTGAGTCATTCATTAGTCAGTAAATGATGACTCACGGTAAAACTCAATAATATAATGACTTATTACTTAGGCCTTTAAATTATACAATACTTTCCATCAGACTGTCCATGTTTTAATAGCGTCAACTTTAAATCTCATGATATCCATACTTCTTTTTGAAAAATAACATCAATTTACATTAACAATACTAATCGGCCGTAAAAATATAAAAGGGTCTATTTCTGGGGTTGAAATGTCCCGATGATGAATTTCGATGGATGAAATAGCCATAGGATGATATTGTTGAAGGTTGAGTTTATAAGGGTCAAATGACCGGAGGGTAAAATAACCAAGGTTGATTTTCGAGGTTCAAATGACCGGGGTTAAAATTCACAGGGTTGAATCGCTCGGCCACCGGAAATTCAAGTCAAGATCTTTGCAATGACACTAAATTTCACAAAAAAAAAAACCGATTTTATCATATGACTATCATGGAGACAAAATTTTTGTTATTCTTTTAATAATATAGATATACTTTTTTCAATACTCACTCTTATGTCAAACATTAGAATGTTATTATATTCTGACTCTAAAATCGAAAAAGTTTAGTTTTTTATACTTCCTTTTTTTTTTTTTATGATTGCAATCAAGATGATTTTAGCTATCTCCGATGATAAAAGTTACTATCTAGATGATAAACCGTATCATCATAATTGTGGGAATTAATATATACTGATTGTACTAATTACAATCGCCGGATAGTTGCATTTATCATCTTAACTTTGTAAAAGTTAATAACCATCCTGGATAGTAGAAGCTACAAAATAGGGATGGTTACCGTTAATATAAAATTCTCTCCGTGTAATTATATTTCATTTTTCATTTCAATACATTAAATCAATACACTATTCTACTATTTGATAATTATGAGTTCATCATAAAAATGAGAGATGTTAACTACTAACTTAGTCTTTAAATTTGAATAAAGATATATTTTTTATTCGTGGAAATCAAACAATGAGTAATTATTTACGTACTGCCGTGACGCAGTGATTACGTTATTTATCAATAAAATTTCTTTTTACAAAAAATTTCAATAATTGTTATACTCAAAATATCTTTTATACAATCTATTCAGCAAAATACATTGGATAAAATCATAATCTTTGCTAATCATGATGATTGCTTAACTACAAAGTGAAATGGTTACTGTCTAGACACAGTAATGTAAAAAATTAATAAAACTCTTGATTTCACAAATTTTTTATCAATTAATAAGGCTATTAATTTCTATATATAGCTAGTATAAAGTAAAGTTTTAGTAAATATCCAAGATATTTCTTCCTCTTTCAAACGATATGGTATTATTGTTGAAGCTCAGTGAGAATTAATTGATTCTTTGATAATAAATTTATTTTCAAAACTAAAAAATATCGATAGATTTATTTTTTTTTCCAAGTAATAGGATTACTGTCTGGGCTCAGTACAAGAAAAATTAGTATAAGTTACTAATAATAAAAAATATTGATAATTTTTTCCTTCTCTGATAAGTAGTAAGGTTATTGTCTGAACGCAGTAAAAAAATAATTATTTGATGGGATTGATTTCTCTACTATAAAATTTTTCTTAAGTTTCGGAGCTTGTTATTATCTCTTATAATTAATATAAATTTATATAAATTATAAGAGATAATAACAAGCTATATTTATATATAAGGGTGAATAATGATATTAAAACTATCGATGCATATTTCTTCCATTTCCAAGTGACACGGTTACTGCCTGGACTTCTTAATAAAAACAAAATTAGAAAAACGGTTGACCCTGAAGGCTTCCCTGCAACTTTCCGCTAATTCCATTAGGCGCTTAAAATTGCACTTATAACGTTTTTGAGCTCTTCGAGCTCAAAAATACAATTTATGTGTTATTTTGAGCTCTCCGAGCTCAAAAAGATAGCTTTGCTATGCTTTTGAGCTCTTCGAGCTCAAAAGTCTTATCAAAATTCGATGAAACACGATTTTTCTAATTTTCAAACTGCTGTAACTTTTTAATAAATCAACCGATTTTCACGCGGTAGGCGGCGATCGATGTGATTTATTAAGCTCTATAAAAAATTTAGAACAAAAATATTGATCTGATGAGAAAAATTTCGCAGTTATTACAAAAAAACACTTTTTTCGATTTTTTTCGACAACGATATCTCACGAACGCATCAACCGATTCTGACGCTCTATGTGGCGATCGATGCGGGTTTTCAAGGTTAAGAGCTGATTAGTTTTTGAAGTTGATCGGTTCAGCCAATTCGGAGATATTTAAAAAAAATGAAAAAAAAAAAACAACTTTTTTTGTCACTTTTTTTGCAATTTCTCGAAATCTACTGGTCCGAATCGGTTCCAACTTACGGGAAATCTAAGTTTGGCGAAGCCCTTTCGAATGATACCAACCGCGATGAAATCGGTCAAGCCGTTTAAAAGTTACAAGAGGTTTACATATACACACACACACACACACACACACACACACACACAGCCGCACGGACACCATCGCGGGAATAGTCAGGAAAGCTTCCTAAGACCTCGAAACGTCGAGATCCGATAAAAACTCGATTTTCGAAAAACGGGGTAAAACCAATAACTTCCCGATTTTTGACAATTTTCAATTTTCTTAGCTGGAAGTTAAAAATTAGTACTTTTAATTGTATGAGTAGAAAGGCTATTAATAACTTTTAATATCTAATATGGACAAAAATACCAACAACAATTAAAAATATCAAGACTTTCCTTCACTGCCTGGTAAAATAGTTACTGCCTAGAGGCAGTAAAACGAAACTCTTATTATGAATAATTACTTGCTCAAGATTCTGAATTTTTTTATTAGTAATGAAGTCTATCAATTACCCTTCATGCCCTGTATCGACCGAGATGTATATGGGGCATTCCACGCCAAATCGACCACTTTTGACCCTGACCCCTTTTGATTTGGCTGAAAGTTTACCATCCTTTTCTACCCTATCAAAAACCTCTCTCATAATTTTTTCAAATTTTTTTACCCAACCAAAAAAAAGTTCCGAATTTTTCAAAAAAACCGCTTTTTTATTTTTAAATTGCCATAACTTTTTCAAAAATTGGCTTATCGGGACGTTTTTTTTTTCAAAATTTTTGTTATTAAATGTTCTTTTTGGAAAAAAATATAAAAAAATTCTTTAAAGCTATCTTCATCGTTATTTTTAAAATTTTTAGAAAAAACTCCGAATTTTTTGATGAATACCACTTTTAGCTTCTTTTTTCTTTTTCTCATTCTAAACTATGACGTTTTTTACAAATATCATGAAATTTCCAGAAAGGTGATTTTCCGATTTCTATTTTTTCTTTTCAATTAAAAAAAAAAAAAAATTTTTTTTTTGTCGTATTTTTCATAACACCGGTCAAAAAATTTACGGGAATCCTTAAAAAAAAAGTAAAAAGTATAGAACCATCAGTTTAATATGTTAATCATCGAGAAAATCAATTTTTTTAAAACAAAAGAAATTGAAAAACAACAAAAAATATAGAACTAAAAATTAACCAGTTTAGCTTCTCAGAATTGCTTTTAAAATTATTCATCCTTGTGAAGGCTCAAATCTATTTTTAAATTAAAAAAAAAAACACCTTTCTGGAAATTTCATAATATCTGTAAAAAATGTCAAAGTTTAAAATGAGAAAAAGAAAAAAGAAACTAAAAATCGTATTCATCAAAAAATTCGGAGTTTTTACTAAAAATTTTAAAAATAACGATGAAGATAGCTTTAAAAAATTTTTTTATATTTTTTTCCAAAAAGAACATTTAAAAAAAAAAATTTTGAAAAAAAAAAAAAACGTCCCGATAAGCCAATATTTGAAAAAGTTATGGCAATTTAAAAATAAAAAAGCGGATTTTTTGAAAAATTTGGAACTTTTTTTAGGTTGGGTAAAAAAATTTGAAAAAATTATGAGAGACATTTTTGATAGGGTAGAAAAGGATGGTAAACTTTCAGCCAAATCAAAAGGGGTCAGGGTCAAAAATGGTCGATTTGGCGTGGAATGCCCCATATACATATATGTAATATATATATAAATAATATATGAAAAATTGATGTGGGTACTCAAATGAAAGGTCTCGATGAGTAAAAAAACGTCCCGATAAGCCAATTTTTGAAAAAGTTATGGCAATTTAAAAATAAAAAAGCGGTTTTTTTGAAAAATTCGGAACTTTTTTTTGGTTGGGTAAAAAAATTTGAAAAAATTATGAGAGACGTTTTTGATAGGGTAGAAAAGGATGGTAAACTTTCAGCCAAATCAAAAGGGGTCAGGGTCAAAAGTGGTTGATTTGGCGTGGAATGCCCCATATATTATACATTCTATTATTTACAACTATATATTATGACTCAAACGTTAGTATCGATAATTTTTTGGTTCCAATAATGTAGCTAGGCGAAAGAATTATATATTTTTTTTTTTTAATATTGGAAGAAAAATAGCGAAAGAATTTTCCTTCACTGATCATTTGTCGCCATCTATTGGTGCCTACCATAACACTTTTGTCAATTATCGACCTCAAAAATCTCAAAAAATCTGTTTTTAAACACAAATGTCATACACTCACTGCCAATAACAAAATAAAATAACGTTTGGGTTATCAACTCAGTTGAATTTATATATAATAAAATTGTGAATTTGTACATTTATACTATTTATAGTTAAAAACACACAGTTAACTATAAAATAGTTTCATCATTCAGTGTAATGCAGTAAACAAATTGGTTGTTTTTTAAAAATGATTTTTCAATGAGTTAAATTAAAAATTTATACGTGAAGTTAATAAAAATCTACAAAAATATAAACTAAAGTTTTATATACCGTGAGTTATGATCCGATCATAACCTGTCATTCTCAACTTTTTAACTGTAGCGAACCGAATTTAAATGCAAAATATAGCGAAATCAACGCATCGGCATTTATTTTTGCCGAAATATTTCATAAGCTCCGTTGTAAATCTTAAACCGAAAGAAAAAAAATATTTTAATCGTAAATTTATAAAATTTTGGAAGGAGTCGGCGAGGAATATTTTTTCATCGTTTCCACACAATGTAAATAGTCAAAACAACATATGATTTTATATTTCTTTAATTCTATTGAGAAAAAAAATTATGGATTTTTTTTTTTACTTTCAGAATTTCAATACATTTTCTACAGAATGTAGATCGTTAGGATTTTATATATTATCACAAAATCAATTTTATCAAAAATTTACCATTAATAAATTACTAAAAAAACAATTTGGCACATCTTCAGTCAGTCATAATAAACCATCATCAAGTAATGGATCTCAAAATTCGTCGGATAATAAACCTCCCAATCAAGGTGATGAAAAAGTGGCTTTCATAAAACTCTTTTTGATATCATGTTTTGTTTATGGAATATTTATATATCCGATGCAAAGAATGGCATACAAAGTTGAGGTATTTTTTTATTATGTACCTTTTTGCTTCTCAGCATGTAAATTTAATAATTTTATTTAATTAACTGACTATTATATCAGTAGCATTTACAAGCAATTGAACATTAAAACCATCGCGAACTCGTTAAATTTTATGATACTAAGATTAAAAGACATCTGACAATTCAAAGATTTTTTAAAAGATCAATTAGAAAAAAAATCCACGTCAAGGAATTAAAAAAAAACTATAAATATGAATTTATTTGATTATTTTTATTGTGCCATTTAATTTATTAAATAAAACCAAAACCGGTCAGATGTCTGTAAATATTAATATTATTAAATTTTTATGTTTAGTCTTTTCCAAGATTTCAAATTGATGTGACCATCAATTTCAGCAAATTATCACACATCAAAGATAAATTAACAAATTACTCATTATTCTAGTCAAAACTTAGTTTGAAAAAAAGAATCATAATATTATTGACCATAAAATCAATGATTAAATTTTTTTAGAAAAATCACTTAGTAAAATTCATAAAAATTAAAAAAGTTGACATAAAAGTTTTTTTTTTATATATACTTTTTTATGTATACTTTTTTTTTTTTCATATGGAAAAATAATGAATATCGCTAAACTCATTTGGATGAATTTTTTAACAATTTTTGCTAAACATTTCATATTTTATACATTGAAAATTTTAAAACTAATCAAAGAATTTTTTTTTTTTACTACTTTTATGATTTTTATTTTAAAAATACACCTTCAAAACGAAAAATTATACGGTAAATACCCCAATAGATGGACAGTTAAGCAAACTCTCGTATTCTATTAAAATACAATATAGTAATATACAGATAAGTTGTGATAAAGTAAATTATATTTATGTAAAAATATATAATTAACCAGGAAAAAATAAGTAAAACTTCGTAAAACGTTGCAGTAATTAATAAAAAAGAAAAATGTAAGAAAAAGTCCAAAACCCCAGTAGATGGACAAAATCTCCAGTAGATGGAAAGTCAATACCAATAGATGGACACTACTTACAAGCGATATTTTCAATTCATAATTTATATCGGAAATAATTAATTTATTAATTTTTTCCACTAAAAAATAAAGCTTGATAAAGCTCGGATACTAATTTTCAAAATACATCATAAAGTAATTTTATTATTTTTTTAACACGTGATGCTTTCTCATGCAAAGTAACATAAAATATCTTAAAATAAATAATACTAATAATTAATAAATAATCAATATAAAGTTATAAAACACAACGTTAAAAATATTTTATGTTGTCTTCTTCCTTTTAATAGGTCTGTTCTCTTTTGCTTCTAAATTTCCTTCGCTCAATTTTCTCTTTTATTCAGCGTTTTCTTTTTTCTCTTCAATTTCTTCAATAATCATGATAATACTTTCATTTTCAGTACATGTCTGTTTATTATAATTTTTACTCTTATTTTCACATTGATCTACCAAAAAAATTAAAAAAAAAAATAAGAAAATTCATCATATAAACTTAATGTCGATCTATTGGATAGAAGTCAGAAAAGTGTCACCAATAGATAGACACTAAATTTTATTATTATTTTTCGATTTTATCATAAAAATATTATATTTCTAGCTTTGTTAGTGAAATATAAGCGTAATCAAATGTACAAATCTTACTGTTTTTATTATTCTTAATAATAATAACAAATAACGTCCACCAGCTATCTGTCATATGCTTACTAGTGGTGGCGCTTTCGGAGCAAAACCTCGAGATGTCCAATTTAAATAATTTTTTTAAACCATCATTTTAAATAAAAAGTAAAAAAAAAAAAATTACTTTTCGCTCTCAGAACTGTATGTAGACATAAAAAAAATAACGACTTAAGATTTTTGTTCTTAAAACTAATGTAATTGCTTCTGGAAATAATATTTGTCCATCCATTGGGGGGTGTCCATCTATTGGGGTATTTACCCTAAAAAAAAAATATCCGGAAATGTTTATTATTCAATTTTTTATACCGAAAAAAAGGCGATTCTCACTTTCAATTTAAAAATTCTAAACAATTATTAATGTAGTAATTTAACATTTTTAATTATCTGTAAATCCTCTGTATATATAGTTCAATCATTAAAAGTGAACAAAATGTCATAGATTAATAATTATTTTTATTTTAAACAGGAATCGCCATTCGTATCTTGGAATGAATTTGTACATAAAATGCTAGCAAAGGGTGAAGTTCAAGAATTAATAATAAAACCCGACATCGATTGGGTAACGATAGTTTTGCACGACGGTGCAGTAATAAATGGAAAACGTAGCATTCTTCGTACTTACCAAATGATTGTAGCAGATGCAACCCAATTGGAAGAAAAGTTACGAGAAGCTGAAAAAGCTCTTGGAATACCACCTGGCCAAGGAGTACCAATAGTATACCAGCGTGTCAACGAGAATACTTCTTTCTTGATTGCACTTGCTGTAACTATTGGAATACTGATAGCAGTGAGCAGATCAGTTAATAAATCCGGTTTAGTAAGGAGAGATATGTTTGGTGGAATAACTCGAGCCAAATTTACTCTAGTTGATCCATTGACGGGTGGTGGAAAAGGAGTTAGGTTTGTAGATGTAGCTGGTTTAAAAGAAGCTAAAATAGAAGTTATGGAGTTCGTGGACTACCTCAAACGTCCAGAACATTACAAAGCACTTGGAGCCAAAGTACCTAAAGGTGCTTTACTACTTGGACCTCCTGGATGTGGTAAAACAATGCTGGCAAAAGCTGTTGCTACAGAAGCAAATGTTCCATTTTTATCAATGAATGGTTCTGAATTTATTGAAATGATTGGTGGCTTAGGGGCTGCCAGAGTTCGAGATCTTTTCGCGGAAGCTCGTAAAAGATCACCGAGTATTTTATACATTGATGAAATCGATGCTATCGGTAAGAAACGATCTGGTGGATCCGGTATGAATCAATCGACAGGCGAATCGGAGCAAACTTTGAATCAATTACTTGTAGAAATGGATGGAATGGCAACTAAAGAAGGAATTATTGTTTTAGCATCAACCAATCGCGCTGAAGTGTTAGATAAGGCGCTTTTACGACCTGGTCGTTTTGATAGACATATTTTAATAGACCTTCCTACACTTCCTGAAAGAAAGGAAATTTTTGATAGATATCTTAGTAGCATAGTTCTTGACAAAAAACCAGAAGTTTACTCACCCAGACTTGCACAGCTAACTCCAGGATTCAGCGGTGCTGATATTGCTAATGTTTGCAATGAAGCAGCTTTACATGCTGCTAGGTTTAAGAAAAAGGCCATTGATGCTTCTGATATATCTTACGCTATCGATCGAGTGATTTGTGGTCCAGAAAAGAAAAATCATGGTGTTTCACCCGCTGAAAGAGAAATAGTTGCTTATCATGAAGCAGGTCATGCATTGGTTGCTTGGCTATTAGAGAGTACTGATGCGTTGTTGAAGGTAACAATTAAACCGACAACACGAGGAGTTTTAGGTTTTGCTCAGTATACACCAACCGAGCGTAGAAATTACAGTAAAGAGCAATTATATGAAATGATGTGTGTTGCTTTAGGAGGTAGAGCCGCTGAGAATGTTGTTTTCAATCGCATAACTACTGGCGCACAAAATGATTTACAAAAAGTTACCAAAATTGCTTACACACAAGTTAGACAGCTTGGAATGAGTGACAAAGTTGGATTAGTTTCATATTCTGAAGAAGAAACTGGAACGAATACGAAAAAACCATACAGTAAAAAATTGGCTAATTTAATGGATATGGAAGCTAGACAGTTGGTGGCGAAATCATATAAAGATACTGAAAAATTATTGAAAAATAATATGGATAAATTAGAAAAAGTAAGTGCTATATTTTATTAACTTTTTAAGGGATTATTATGTGGATCTGTGTGTCAATGAAGTAGGTATTTTTTTTAATGATTTAGGTTTAAAATCATAAGAAAGAAAAGATTTTTTTTTTTTTTTCATTAGAGTAAATTATGTAATTATAAATACAGTATTTTGAAAATTTTACTAAATTTCCTAAAAACAAAATAACTTGAAAAAAACTTAAGTAGGTATATAAATTAAAAAAATTTTTATTTTTTATGACTTTCTAAAATTTTTATTTTTAAATCAATAAATTGACATCTTTTACAGATTTTTTTATTTTACAAATTCTTCTATTTTCGAAAAAATTTAGTTAAGTAGATTTTTTGACTTTTTATTGCTAAAAATAGGCAGCTCCAAAATTTGAAACAATTACTAACAAATAACTAAATTACGAATAGCTGTAGATTATTATTATTTGTTATTTTACAAAACTGATAAACTCATTAATATTTAATTTATAGATTTCACAAATGCTTTTAAAGCAAGAAACATTGACATATGAAGAAGTTGAAGGCCTAATTGGACCACCACCTTTTGGTAAAAAGAAAAAAGTTGATTGCATAGAATTAGACGAATCAACGTCAACGACTATTGAGAATTCTCCAGAAACACAATCAACATCGCAAGTTTCAAAATGTGATAAGATAATTTATAATTTATAACTCAATAACTATATTTTCAAATGTAACTTATATGAACGGCTGAAGAATAAATTGTTCATTAACTATAATTTATAACTAAAAATATAAAAAATAAAAAATGTTATGTAACAAATAAAACTTTCTTTAATTTTTTGAAACTTAATCCACTACAAATAAGTCGTTGATTAACTGTGAATCACATACAATCAAAACTTATAGTTTTTTATAATTAATATTACAAAGCCTAACTCATTAAATTAAATAACAAGCCATTTTTAACTTCTACATTTCTTATAATATAATAACACAAAAAAATATTTGTATTATTTAAGCGCATTGGTTCGAATGTAACATTCGTAAAAAAATACTTCTTAGAAGAAATTCTTGTATACTATTATATTTTTGTAAAACTGGAATAGGATGTTATAATTTTTTGAATTTTAAGATACCATAATTTACAACGATCGTAAGAGGAATAATGAAAGATACATAATCAATTCTATAGAAATTTGATTGACTGCATGCAGTATATACTTCATACAAATATACATTTCGTAAGATACAAATCTAACATGAAATGTATATTCTTAGACAACTTATATATTATTATTTTAAGTAAAAAATACATAAATACGTGCTTATTGACCAAGCTAAAGTCTTATGTAAACTAAAGAATAGTGGTAAATGATTTATAATCACACTAATTGAATTTACTACCTATAATATTTATATTATTAATAAAATAACAAAATGCATTTAACCAATCCAATTATGCTGTATATTATGAATAGCAAAAATATAAACAAATAATTAAATTATATAATTTAAAGTCTCAATCGAAAAATAGACTTTGTATTATTTTCGAAATAGAAGAAATAGAATCATTAGTTAAACTTTTTTTTTTCTGTACGTTTTATTTTGTACATTAAATCATATAATTTCATTATTACTTATTAATTTCATTATTGTATCTAATACTATCTCACTATTGCTTGATATTATTATATAAACAACTATTAATTGGAGACTAAATGATACGAATAACAATATTTAGTTTGTATCGTTGGAAGATTTAGTTGACGCTTTGCAAGCAAAAATATAAAACTTATTATTTGAACACTTCGCTGGATATTCGTATTAGAAAAAATAATATCTTTTTAAGCAATATTAAAAATAATAAACAAAATAAATGCGCAACCAAATCTCATTTTATAAATAATAAAATGTATATAGTTCAGCTTTTGGGAACTATCCATAAATATAGGACTAAATGTGGACTACTGATATTAGTTTTCAACTAATTCAGAATCATGAGACACAACACCTTTAAGAGTGAAGTTCAAAGTACGCTCATAGTGTGAACCATCCCAATACACTTGGCCACATCGGTGACAAATGAAAAAAATTGAAACTCGTCGACAAATACCAACAGGAACCTTATCAATTTGAATAAGTACTCCATATTTTGTTTTACACTGCATTGTGTGCGAAGTTTCTTTCGACAACAGCCATGTACGATCTTTGAATCTACAATCTTCGACCTGGGAATTATCATTTTGGTTCTGTTCTGTTACTGTAGGCATATATTCTCGACCTAAAAACCTGCGAAATAAAATTTGGATATTTTAGAAATTACCATTTATTTATTATAATTAATTTTATAAAGATTTAAGAAAAATTTTTGTTTACTTACTTTAAGTTAAGTTTCCACATTGTTTTGTTAGAAATTTGAACAAACTCATCACAATTACAAATTTGACAGCGACTGTAAATATCATTTTCTGTGACGGAAATATTGAAATGTTTCATCACTTCTCTTAATTGATCATCAGAATTATCACTTTCAACGCAATAATATTGCTCTGGTGGTAAAGATCCTAATCTTTTTAGCTGAAAATAAATAATAATAATAATAATAATAATAATAATAATAATAATAATAATAATAATAAATAAATACATAAATAATAATAATAATAATAATAATAATGATACTAATAAACATACCTTTTCAGGATTAAGATTACGTGTAAGAAATACTCTTTTGTCTTGCAGAGCTATTTTAATTGATTGAACAGAATTTGGATCATGATCAAGAAAAATGCAATTACAGCCACACATTCTTAAAGGTTTTACTAAATTACTTAAAACTGCATCACAAATTACTTTCCATTGATGTGCAGGAATACGTTCTGATTTAATAGTCTCTTTAGTAACTGCCGAACTAGGTCGAATAACCAATCTATTAATGGACGATTTAACCTCTGGTTTTTTATTAATTTTCTTTGGTGACGAACAAAGCTGAGACTGATAAAGTTCATCGCAAATCTCTTGTAGAGGAATGTTGCGTTCATTACAAAGATCAACTAATATATTATAAATTTCAATTAAACAATAGGCATCTAAAGCTGCGTAAGTTATCTGATCTTCACGCAAGGGTCTTCTTCCCCAATTGGAACATTGATCAGCTTTATTCAACCTATTACCTAAACAAAGTTCTACTAATTTGCTAAGACTTTCACCAGTAAAATTATCATCTCCGGGATAAGGAAATGTAAAATCGTATTCTTTGACAAGCTTATTCCATAAAAAGTGAATGTCTAAGTAGTTCATACATCCTTCTGTTAATTCAAACATTGCTGGTAAACATTCTTTAAACATTAAAATATCATGCCTTATACCAAATCCCAATTTAGTAATTTTACTGTTACCAAACAACAGACTGCCGAATTCCTGCCATAATTTTCTGTTGTTTGGTCCTATTTTAATTACATCTAAAATATAAATATTTTTGTCTGTAGCTATTTGTATAAGAGCTAATTCACTTTTTTTCCACACTCCGAAGCTTGGTTTCCACTCGGAATCTATTCCAACAACTGAAAATTCAATCAATTGTTGATTCATGAATTTTTTAAAGTTTTCTGTATTATCTATTATCTCTATAGATTCTCTCGACAAACGCAAAACATGATAATTGGGTTCACCCTGATGTATATTTCCAATATTAATTTCGGTAGTATCACATGAATTGTCCAATTTATTTGTTAATCTATTATCCAAATTTGCTACTGCCCAGGGCCAGGTGTCTTCAGGAAGGTTAAACACTTTTATCCAGTACAAAGCTTCTTCTGGGTCGTATTGTGATATCATTGATACCAAATTTATTTGAATATTAGTATCTTTGATATCAGTTTCATGCACCATTTCTCGCCAGCATTCAGAGCTTATACTTCCTTCAACGAAACGTTTGTAAACAAAAAATTGTACTGTACCTTCCTCACGCTTACGATGCAAATTTGGGCAAATATCTGGTGATAGATTGAATATTTTAACCAAACGTGTTACTAATTTAGTCATTGCACGTGGTTGTAACGCACATGTTTTAATATCTGTGATATTATTTGCTTCAATAAATTTAATTAATGTATCTTGCATCTTTTCTTTTGGTCTAAGTATATTATCTAGGTATACAACTATTTTTTCTTGTACTTCTGGGCAATTTTTCAAAAAATCTTCAACTATTGTATTTTTATTTTGAAGAATCAGAGGCAATAATATTAATTCTGGATCTCCAAAGTGATCTTGCAGATTCAATATTGTTGCGTATTGAGCTACTTCTTTGTACTTTTTCTCACTCAGCATCACCTTTAAATAGACGAAACATTTTTTTTTAATTTATAAGCTTAAAACAAAAATTATATAATAATTAAATTTTATATTATTAATTGATTACCTGTATAAGGGGCAAAAACATTTCTTTATCCTTGTCAAATTCATATGCATCAGATACTAATTTAACAAGAAGCATATTACGTTGTTTACTAACACCCTTGAAGGCTTCCATTTTCAATTCAGGAACAAGACAACTTTTGTGAGCTTCTTTGTGAACTGATATCCATTTTCGAAAATCTTCTATAACTGTTAATAATTATAATTGGTAAACAAAATAATGTAGTTATTAAGACATAATTGCATTGAAATGATAATATTGAAAATAACAAACATTAACAATTTTTAAGATTTTTTCAACAAATATAGAAGTTAGGACCACACTACTTCTGGCGATAAAATTAAAATGATTCAACTGTTTTCTTCTCAGCTAAAAAATAAAATAATTAAAAAAAAAATTTTTTTTAATTTTTCAAAAATCACAAAAATTCAAAGATGACATTTTTTAATTTTTTTTTTTGTATGTTGAAAACAAAAGAAAACGAGAAATCTTTGTATGTACTTATAAATATATAAATTTTATTACTAATTTTCGGTAAACGTTTAATTTTTTCAACATTATAAGGTTCAAAATAAAATTGAAAAATTGATTTTAGACTATCTTAAGGGGTTAGGTGGGTTTCAGAGGTTCAAAAAAAGGATATTTTTACTATTTTTTTTTCTTTTATAGTTTATACAATCATATATTTTATTTAAACAATTTAACATATCAAAGATACATATTTAAACAGTACTGTGTGAAATTTTTATTTAAAAATTCCGAAGGCTCAGCCGTTGGCTTAGTTAGTCATCTCCCTTGACGTCTCAAAAAAAATGCTTTTGCCGTGGACAGCATAACTCATTATTGGTTCATCTAAAATAAAAAATCCAAACATATTTCATTAGTACATGGATAAATCTCGTTATTGGACGAAGAAGAATAAAAAAAATTAAAATTTGAATTTTTGACAGACTTTGAACAAAAAACACATTTTTTGGTCAAATTTTCGTCATGTATTTGCTCGAAAAAATTAGTTGTAATAAAAAAGAATCCTTCGTCCATAATGAGATTTATCCATGTACGAACGTAATATGTTTAGTTCTTTGATTTTAGATGAACCAATAATGAGTTATGATGTCCACGGCAAGAGCATTTTTTTTTTTTTGAGACGTCAAGGGAGATGAGATACTCAACGGCTGTATTTTATATACTTAAAAAAAAAAAAAATAGTAAAAATACCCTTTTTTTGAACCTCTGAAACCCATCTAACAGCTTAAGGGGTCTGATTTTAAATGCATCATAAAAACAGATAGCTTGAAAAAAAAAAAAAATTCGGAAAATATTTATATATTTATTTTTTATAGCCAAAAATATGTTAGTCTCCACTTTCAATCAATTACCCAAATAAATATTTGTAAAAAAAATCTGCATGTAAAATTATAAAATGGCTATGAATGTAATTTTAATTTTTTCAAATATATTTTTAGTTTTCATTACTGAGGTAAGTGAAACAAAAAATAATTAATGTTTATTAATATCAATATCATTTAAAACGTACTTGTTAGTGCTAGAGAAGACTTTGGTTTAACATTATGGAAGTCTCCAGCATTTAATAAAATTCTAAGAGTACTCAAATACGGATTGGGAGCAGACTCAAAAAATTTAGTGAGTTCATTAGAAACTGGTGTACTTTTTTTCCCTGAAATGAATACTTAAATTAATACAATAATTTAAATAAGTTTTTAAAAATGATAAAAAAAAACTTACAATGATTCCAAATACTTTGTAATTGTTTCAACCAATTACTATTAGCTTCATCAAGTGAGGTATAATCTGCATTTTTACTTGTGTCATTGAGACTAGTATTTCCAGTTAAAATACTTTTTTTATCTACTTTTTCGTTCATTTTGAAAATTTTGTTGTTATTTTTCTGTAACAAAAATCAAAAATTATTGCTGTCAATTTTTTATTATTTAATCTTATAACTAATAAAATGAGAAAAATAAATCAAACTAAAATTTATTACACTATCTAACCTCAAGATTCAAGATACATGCTAATTCGTGAATTATTTCAGTTAATTTTAAAAGAATTAAGTTTTATAAAATAGTTCAAAGTATTGACAACAGCTGAGTTAATTTGAGTTATAATTGTTACTGCTATTGTTTGTTAATTCGTTTACTAAATTGATTTTATTTTTTTTATATATAACCACGATTATCACGATTCGTTGGTTTGCTGTAAAATAAAATCAATTATTACGACTAATACCAAATCAAATACTTCGGGAATTATTTTAATGTGGTATTAATATAAAAAATCCAGTACTATAATATTTCACTATTTTTATGAGCAAACATCACATATAACTTAAATATTTTATCTATTAGCTATAGCAAAAATTTTTTACCTTGAACAGACCGGAAAATAGAAGCCCTGATGTATGTGTTTGTGTTATATATTAGACGCCTCAGGTGTCACTACTGACAAAGTAAAGTGGGGCTTAAAATCGAGCGGTTCGAACTCGGCAATAGCGGGAAGTTTTAAAAGTAGTGCAGCGACAATCATCTTTTAGATTTTTCTAAACATCGAAATAGTTCTCTGTAAAAAAAGCACCATTTTGCCAAACCTGACATAAATAGGTAGATTTATTTAACGAATATAGAATTTTTTCAAAATTTTTCGAGTAACGAAATAAATTGAAAAATAATCAATCTAAGACAAATAAAAGCTCAAATTCATGATAATGACATGAACTTCAAAATAAATTTGATAGAATTGAGCTGTCTATCACAGCAAAAAACATGTTTAGATAAAAGTGACAAAATACGTTTATTCAAAATTTTTCAAGTTACGAAATAAATGGAAAACATCATCAAAACTGGACAAATTAAAGATAATTAAGTTAACTTTGACATAAAATCAATATATTTGAACCATCTTCGACGGTAAAAATATTATTTCGGCAAAATTGAGAAAACTAAAAATTTTTCGAAAATGATAAAAATTTTCAAAGAACCAAAACTCCGTAACTAACTGGTAGATTTTGCTCATCTTCGAACTTGATCTCTCCATTGATTCAGGGAATAAGCCGACAAAATTTCAGAAAGATTGGTTGAGAACTGTGGGAGCAATATATATATATATAAAGGCCCTGCCCGGGATGAGAGGAAATAGTTGTCAAATTGATTGAAGTTTTTTTTTGGGAAAAAAAAAATAAAAAAAAAAAGTGGCCAACTTTGAAAAAATAACCATTTTGTTCAAATAAACCGATTATTTTATAGAATTGATTATATTTAATTTTTTTTTGTGTATTTTTTCGAAAAGTTCATTCAAAAACAAAAATTTAAAAAAAAAAAGGTACCCAAAGGTCAATGTCTAAAAAAGTTATGGCTATTTGAAAATATATAATAAAGTCACTTTTTTGGGAAATTCAAAACTTCTTTGGGTTGAACAAAAAAATTTGAAAAAATTCTCAAAAATGTTTTTCGAAGGGTAGAAAAGAATGATAAAGTTTCAGCTAAATCTAAAGGGGTCGAGTTCAAAAGTGCTCGATTTGGCATGGAATACCCCATATATGTATGTACATAAATACATGCATAAACTTTTGAACCACTGCTATTTTTCAGCATAACTTGATGAAATAAAACATATTGTAACAAAATTTTCTTTAAATTCCAACATGAGACCAGATTTATAAATAAATCTACCTAAAAAAGCTGACTTATCAATTTCATAATTTTGAGTCTTTCCAGTTTGAAAAGTTCTTCATTAATAATTGCACGCCTCATAAGCGAAGCGTTGAGGTTGTGCTCTACTCTCGACATTTCAAAAAAAGCAGTTTTCTCGAAACTAAAATTGATTTTTTGTTATTTATATCGCACTTATAGGTTAATATGAGTACACTTATATCAAGTCGAATAATTTGTCAGGCACATAAGATATATTTCAATAACAATTTTTTTATTTAACATAGTAAATAATAACATTTAACATAATTTTTTCTGGACGTCCGTGTATGGATGGGTGTATGTGTCAGGGAAATTGGTCGAAAAAATTATCGTACCGGAATAATTTTTTTTTTTATTATCTAAAGTAACACATGAAGGAATTTCCTAACTAATATGAGCGTTCAATTCACTGTCGTTAAATTATTATTTATGAAAAAATAATATATGACTGTGGATTTTTTTGTATATCTATCTATACATTTCATTATAGTATTTTTTTTCCTCACCTTACAGTTATGGCGCCACTAAACCATAGCAGAGTTTTCTGTTTTTTATTATTTTGCTTTTTATATTTTATTTTAATCAATTTTATTGTGAAAAATGAGATTATGAGGCGTGCACTTTTGGATTTTCCAAACTTTTTTTTATTTTCATTTCATTTTTTAATTTGGTTCTAGTTTTTATAGTTGAAGAGTTTTTCATGGCAAAAATTTTAAAAAGACTCCTAAAAAATCTTTATTTTAGCTTTGTAAGAAATCACGGTTTTTATGCTATCTCATATTAACTACCATTCAGATAGGCAAAAAAAATACTCTCCAAGCAAAAAATATTATGTTTTAAGAATGTTAAACTTTTTGAACAATAAGCTAAATGTTATTGAACAAGTTTTTTAACTTCCTGCTCAGAAAATGGAAAATTTTCGAAAGTCGGGTAGTTATATTGGTTTTACCCCGTTTTTCGAAAATCGAGTTTCCATCGGATCTCGACGTTTTGAGGTCCTAGGAAGCTTCCCTGACTATTCTCGCGATGGTATCCGTGCGGCTGTGTTTTTTTTTTTTTTTTTTTATAGAGGAGGTAAAATACATTTACGTATGCCAGGGCTTGGTGTTGTTGCCAGGACTAGGTGTTGGTGCCTGGGTATGTCGGACTCGGAAGTCAATATTTGCAACAATACCGACTAAACATCCTCCTCTCTCCTTTCCCTATAGATGTTACAGGGATGACTGGAACGGGACCGCGTTAGCATTACTTCAATCCAGTCCATGTTGTGTCTCATGACACCTACTTCTTGTTACTACTGGTTTCTAATCCCTTTCTGCGATTTTTTCTTTTAAAAGGCGCTGCGCGTAGGCTGCGACAGCTGACCAGTTTTTTTCTTTTTTTATCATGCAGGTGACCAAGCTCTCAGGGGAGAGCGTGGTGCCTATTGTTCCTTCGGTGCTGGTTCTGTCGTCCTACCACCGATCACACTCGAAAAACGTGTGCCCGGCGTTGTCAATTGTGTCTGGGCAGTATTTGCACGTTGGTGTACTGTGCAAACCCATCTTGAAAAGATAAACATTGAACTGCCCATGTCCCGTCAATAACTGGGTCAGGAAGAAGTCCGTATCCCCGTACTTCCGAGAAAGCCAGACGTTGATGTTTAGGATCGGGCGCGCCGTCCATCTGCCCGTCTCTCCCGATGTCCATCAGGCTGTTATTACCTGAGAGTAGAACTTGTAGTATTGACAGAGTTTTTAGTTAATTAATATTTGTTATTTATTAGTTAATGTTTATCAATTGATACACGAATAAATGAATTTGGAATATGATGTGAATAAGTTCAGGTTGTTAGCCTGCCTCGATTCATTTGACATGTTTTTAACAATTGATGTTTGATAATTGAGCACCTGAAGAAGTCGGGAAACCGATGAAACGTTGTGAAAATTTAACATAAACATCGAATAAATATTTCCAATAAACTGTGAACCTATTATTTTATTAATTAAACATGGATATGAACAACACAATGAATTTCTTAAAAATAATTAATAATTAAAATTACATCTTTTTGTCGATTATGATTCAATCTGAAGTATCCTAAAACCTCAATTAATGATTCTCAAATGATTTTTATTAACGATTTCGCTCAGTCGTAAACATTATTCTGGTGTGAAATATTTTCTGAACGTTATTTAATTTAACAAAAATCTTACTCCGTAATAAATATGGACAGTGATAATGATTTAGATGATGATTATAATGATTTTGTTCCTGACGAGATAAAAAAAGGGGAAGAATATATATATTCGGAGATAATTTTATATTAACGGTAAACATCCCTATTTTGTAGCTTCTACTATCCAGGATGGTTATTAACTTTTACAAAGTTAAGATAATAAATGCAACTATCCGGCGATTGTAAGTAGTACAATCAGTATATATTAATTCCCACAATTATGATGATACGGTTTATCATCTAGATGGTAACTTTTATCATCGGAGATAGTCAAAATCATCATGATTGCAATCATAAAAAAAAAACAGGAAGTATAAAAAACTAAACTTTTTCGATTTTAGAGTCAGTATATAATAACACGAGCGTCACACGTCAATCAGCCCAGTAACTCCGAGATATTAAAATGCTTTGTATTTATACGAACATTCAACATCGAAAATTTCCTCTCTTCTTTAACTCCATCTCTATCTGTGTTGCTATTTTTATTAATACGCTTTGAAAAAGTCTGGTTATTTCTAACTTGCAATATTTATTTTGTTTATTTATTTATTTAAAACAAAATAATTATGTTTTAAATTTAAATAATTTTAATGTTTAAATAATTAGATTAATTAAATTTAATTTAAATTAATTAATTGATTAATTTAAATAATTTTAATGTTATTTTAAATAAATAATTTTGTTTTAAATAAATAAATAATAATATTTTAAATTATTGTTATTTTTTTTTAATTTTAATTTTTAGTACTATTATTATTTTTTTTTTTAATTTAATTTTTATTATTATTATATTCTATTTATACTTCAAAAATGTTTCTCCGACAATCCAAAAAATTTAACTAATTGCTGAGATTGTGAAAAATTAAATTACTTTCCCTGATAACCATAGTTTCAGACCAACCAAGTTGGTGTCAGATAGTTGCCACCAACTTACCGACAACTTGCGTTCAACTTCCG